TGCCTACATTGGGTAGCCGCGTTTGCATGTTTGGATCGATGCGTGGAGTGGGTATGTCCCCCACGCCGCGGCCCGACCATGCAAACGAACGCACTCCCTCTCCCCCATCTATCTACGACCTTGTAATTCCGTGTTCTTCGCGCATGCATGCACACTATAAATTCCGGCTGCGCGATTAACTTGCTCTCTTAACAGTTGCTGGAAGCTCGGGGTTGCGCGATCGAGAGGGTCGGCACACGAGCAAAGTAAGAGGTGAGTGAAGTGGGAGTCAGGCGACCCGACGAGCTAGTGCCGAATGCGCGGGGTTGACGCGGGCCACGACGGACTGTGGGCGCGGAGTGAACCTGAAGGGTGCAGGAGGACTAAGCGGGGTGACGGCTTCGTGTATTGGTGCGCGACGACGGACTGTCGGCATCAGAGAGAGAGAGAGAGAGGAGAGAGAGTTGAGATTGAGGATGGACATGGATTTGCGTTTTTCTTTTCGTTCCCTTTTTTATCTGTGTATATAAGTTTTGGTGTCAATCACGGGCAATTCACCCTTGTGTGTGTGGCCATATGCTCGTCCTGTTGTCCGATTTGGTTTTGTTCTTCTTTTCATCAATGATTTCTCCTTTTTCTTTCCTTCCCCGGAATCCTCTTTTGCAAATAACGTATGGATGGTTCGCGCACCCTCGCCTTTCGTTTTTCATCGTTTCCTTCGAACCCTCGTACATGATGAGTGAAAATGGGGATTGCATGCTGGCGTGATCAATAGAGTGTGTTGGCTTGTTGTATCTTACGGATAGTCTGCAGCGCACCATCCGACGTGCCACAGGGACACATGCAAGTCCGATCCGGACGGAGCGCGGCTTACACGTGCCCCTACCATCGCCAATCACGTCTTAACTAATGCGCGTAGCCAGCCCTTCACTGAAGAAGGAGTCGATGTCAATCGGGATCGGGTTACCCATCGCGCGTAAGTGCGCATAAGTGCGACTCGTTCGCATCTCTCTTACGCACTTACGAGCGGTGATCTCCCCGATTAACTTATCCCCCCCCCAAAACGTGAGTGATGAAAGAATGACGAGCTCGCGGAGTTCCGACGTATCTTGGAATTCCGAGGATTACGAGTCGTATTTCGGGCACCGAGAAATCTGGGAAGAAGAACAACTCCGGTTACGAGAAAATTTGAGGAACCCGGTATTCCCCTGCCTCACAGGAAAAGATAGATTATGCGCTAGGGAATTCCATCTCGCCGTACGAAGCGACCCACGGGGACCCGACTACCCAAACACGTACAACACACAGTATTTCATAACTCCCGGCTTCGTCCTTGTCGCCACTAGTTTCCCACCATACCACCTCCTCCTCCCCTATCATCAGCTTACAGTAGTACC